TTTGGACAAGTTTGAAAATCCTAACGTGAAGAATAAAACCCAACAAAACAAAAACCTCGGTCATTCAAAAATGCCATTAAGGAGCTGTGAGTTGCTGTGTGCAGTATTTTGGGAGGTGGCTTGCACTTCAGGATGGGAGTGGTTTGCTTTTTCCCCTCTACAGAAAATAAAACTTTGGGGTTTTTTTAACAGAAAAAACAAATACAGGATTCTCAGCTAACCTTCCTATTAGCTGCTGCATGTCTTGTGTCTTTCTCCGAGGCCGCGTGTAACCCTGAGCCAACTCGTAGCCTTGTACAACTTGCCACTGTTTAGATGAACATTATTCCTTCCCAACTTCTCAGGTAGCTTCCGTAGCTAAAGCCGAGGTTGCTGCGAAGGGCTGGTACGTATGTAGGAGGAAATCGTTTGACAGTAGAGGAGTTGACACACATCTCCACCGCACTCTGACAACAGGCATGTTTCTTGGAGACGAAGTGGTTTTAGTCAGATGTAAATATACCAGTGGCTGAGAACCCTGGTGGAGCAATTGAGAACCATCTCCAGAGGCTAGCTTTTTTTAAAACATAGAAATACTCTTTATTCCAAGTTTCTGTGGTATGTCAGCTGGCATGTTAAGGCCTTCTGTTGTGGCCGCAAGCACAGAAAGGGCATAACAGAATCCAGAACTGCTTGATGTGACATGCTCAAAACTGGGAAAACATCTGTGATTACAGCCAAGTGGTTATTTTGCAGACAGCTGTGGAAATTCAGGTCCTTCACCTTCCCCAGGTGTTCTCCTGTCCCTCTACTGCAAGGTGCTGCTCCCGCAGATCCGCCAGCAGTTCGTGTTAACCCCCTCATCCACGAACAGGGGCAGGGTCTATTTAACATTGCTGTTCATGACCCGGATGAGGGAGCTGAGCACGCACTCACCACATTTGTAGATCGTGCCAGACATGGGAGAGCAGTCAGTGTGGTGGAGAGAAGGGTTGCTATTCAGAGACCCTTTGGCAGGTTGGGAAGATGGACTGGCAGGAGCCTTGGGAAGCTCGGCAAAGGCAAAAAGGCAAATGCAGAGTCCTGCACCTGGGATGGAGTAAGCTCCTGGAACAGGACAGGCTGGAAAGCAGCGTTGCAGCAGAGGACAAGTTGGACATGAGTCAGGCAGCATGTCCTTGCAGCAGAAAGGCCAACAACTGCACGAACAAGTGTAGCCAGCAGGCTTACAGGGGAGGGAGTCTTCCCTCTTTTTGGCCTTTGTGAAACCACGGTTCTCTGTCCAGTCTGGGGCTCTGTGGTGTGAGGAAGGTGTTGACACACTGGAGCACGTCCAGCAGAGCTATCGGAGCGGGGAAGCTGAGGAGACGGAGTATCTTCTGCCCTGGTTTTACTGTTGGCCTACAACTGCTTATCAGGAGGGTGTAGAGAAGGTGGAGCCAGATTCTTCTCCGAGTGCATACTGGAAGGACAAGAGGCAATGGACAGATGGGAAATTCTGATAGCTCTAAGGAAAAAAAAGTTCATTGTGAGGGTTATCAAATACTAGAATAGGTGCCCAGCGAGGCTGTGGGACCTCAGTCCTTGGAGATACGTAAACCCAGGCTGCACATGGCTCTCAGCAACCTGCTTGTCTTGGCCCTGGTTTGAGCAGGAGTTTGCACTGGAGCCCTCCAGAGATCCCTTCCACATGGGGGTCTGTGGCAATGGAGGTCATTGCTTGAAGCAGGGCTAGCCCCAAATTTAGGCTCGGACCCCTGTCTGGTTGACTTTTTAATAGCAGCAGTGATGGAGAGTCCATGGCTACTCTGGTCCCTTTTCCAGTGTTTGACTGCTCTTGGTGTGAAATTTTTTTTCCATATATCTAATCGGAGTTTCCCTTGCTGCGCTTGTGTCCTTTCCATGTGCACCCCTGAGACAAATCTGGGGTCATCTTCACTATAACCACTAACTGGTTAGCTGAAGACTACATTTTAAATTCCCTCCTCAGTCTCCTCCAGACTGGATGAGTCCAGTTAACCCAGTGTCTCTTTTTGCACTGTGTTCTGCCACATTGCCATTTTAGTGGCCTCCACTGGACTAGCTGTGGTAGCACAGGCTGGGGAGGCTGGCGGGCATCTCTGAAGGTCATCTGGTCCACCCCGCTGCTCATGCTGGTGTTCCCCAGAGCTCGGGTTCGGGGCCAATTCTGTTTAATGTCTTTATCAATGACCTGGACGAGGGATCGAGGGCACCCTCAGTCAGTTTGCAGATGACACCGAGCTGGGAGGGAGTGTGGGTCTGCTGGGGGGAGGAGGGCTCTGCAGGGGGACCTGGCCAGGCTGGAGCCATGGGCCCAGCCCAATGGGGGGAGGGGCAACAAGGCC